TTTTTGTGTCTGTGTACACGATAAGTAGTCGAAATAATGCTTCGATTTTCGACTTCAGTATCTTGTTCGATTGGAAAGTGAATATCGTTGGTGCATTGGGGAGGTCAAAATTTAAATTTCCCAGTAGTTTTCAAGAGCGCCGGGAAAAACAAAAGAAAAATTAAGGAAAAACGGGAATTTTTACGCAAAATCGATTTTTCAGAAAATTGAATTTGGTTTTTGGTGTAACTTTAAAACAAATGACCGTAGGTACATGCAATTTTCACTGGTTGTTTATATTTGCATCTTCTATACACGATAACATTTTCAAAATATTTTGATTTATTTTGAACAGTTTAGGGACATTTTCATTTTTAGTTTTTTTTTAGTTTTTTTTCTAGAAATATCAATAAAATTTTATTTGTTGGTTACGAAAGCTTGAAAATTTAATAGAAGGCTCCTAATATATTGTTTCAAAGGCAGATGAAAAATATTAAAAATCCTTAGTCACAACTTTTTTTTATAAGCATTTAAAGTTCAAAAATTGACAAAATATGGAAAAATCACGAAAATTAGCAAATTATTTTGAGTTAAGAATTCGTCAAAATTTTTCTTTTTAAATCTAAGATTTGAAAATCTAATACAAGATTACTCATAAGATTGTCTACCTTTATCAATAAAAAAATCTCTACCGGAAAGTCAAATTAAATTTTTATGAGCGTTTGAAATTCAAATTTTTACAACATTGGATATTCACTCGATTTCTCATGTGGCAATTTCGTTTTTTTGTTGTAATTAAAAAACGAATTACTGTAGATACATGAAAATTTCACTGAATGTTTATATTAGAATTTCCTATACACCATACAATTTTGAAAATATTTTTACTCTTTTTGAGCCGTTTACGGACATTTTCAGTTTTCAATTTTTTTAGTTTTTTTTTTCTATAAATATCAATTAAGTTTTATCTGTTGGGCCAAAAAGTGTAAAAATTTAATACAAGGCTCCTGATATATTGTTACAATATCAGTTGAAAAATATTAAAAATACATAGGCACAATTTTTTTTTATAAGCATTTTAACATCGAATTTTGACAGAATTTTTCAAAATCTCGAAAATTATTAATCATCGTAATTAATAAGTTATAAAATGTTCAGTTTTTATAGCTAAGGATTGAAAATTTAAAACAAGATTCCACGTAAGTAGTTAATTATCTTACCGAAAAATCTAAAAAATATACAATCACAGTTTATTTTTATAGTCATTTTATGTTCAAATTTGGACGAAATTACATATTAAAAAACCTAGTTATTTTGTTGTGATTATATAATATTATTCGTGGGTACCTACTTGAAACTTCTAAAGTGTACTATTATATATATATGATAGTATCAGGGTTTGTTGTTGGTGTATAACGTGTTATAAGTACCTAATGGATATTGTGATAATGTGATATTATGATTAATTTGGAATTTATTATAGGTCAATTTTTTTTTAATACCATAGATATGTATATAATGTGTCTTAACCTAGACTGACATACCGTCTTCGCTCAGAATCGTTTTTCTTATACAATGATATTGTATCATTGAATTCAAATTTAATAGCATCAATTATACAGTGACCCACTTGTAACCTACTGTACAGCAGAGCGACATCCACTTACCCACCTTTTTAATTTTATTATTCAGACCAAGCCTCGACTTACATCGGGCCAATGGTATGCTTAAAATTGTTATTATTTAAATCAGTTATTTTCTATCTTATCCAACTAATCAATATAGGTAATATAATAATTGGTAGGTAATATACTAATATGCTGTTAAACGTATATTAAAGTTAAAATTATAGAAAACAAATCGTTTAGACGATTCAATTTGTTATCTGTTGACATACAACCGTGTAACAAAGCAAAATTTATTACGTTCAGCAGTTCTCGTTTAGTTTTAATATAAGAGTGACCTATTATTAAATGTAATGGTAACAAAATTATCTGTGTTCTCTCAAAATTTCTTTCGGTATTTTGACTTTAAAGCGAATTAAGTGCATTTACAAGGTGTTGTATAATTTACATAGGTAATATAATAACATGTACCCAGGTAATTTACAATTTACAATGCACATATTGTATAATTACTATGTAAATTGTCAGTTTGTTAGTTTGCACATATTGAAAATGACTAGTTAGGTTAACAGTTTCATGAAGCAGGTATAACTTAAAATTGTTAAACTCATTAATACTTATAGCCATTGATTGAAAGTTTGCTTCAAGTTTTAAACAAAAGAAGAAGGAAATATAATTTTCAAAATTTTAACAATGTATTTTCATAATTTACATTACAAAATATGAGCAGACATAATATTGTGTAGGTACCTAATATGCATCTCTGCAGAGTCTCGCATAGAAATATTTAAAATTTGAAAACAAGTAATATATTATACGAAAAATACGATTAAATTTGATGAGAAAGGGTATGACTATATAGCTTCACCAAAACCTTTTAATATAATATGCGGTTCCATGGTAGGTTTTCACTTTTCACCCACACACTCCCTCGCACCAATAAATAAATTTATTGATAAAAATTACAATGACAAATAATAAAATACATTAAAATCTAAATTCTAAATAATAAAAATTAAAATTAAAAATTAAAAATCTAACATTTATTTAAAAAAACAATCAACTAGTGAGGACAATTGTTGACCACAAACCTATCTATGTCACCATGCATATCTACGTAGTTTGAGTAATCAACCTTATGTAGTTTAGTTAAACCACTGTAATGCGCAGTGTGTATCGGTATAATATACTCAAATATATACATATATAATATATAATATACTAATTAATATTTGCACAGTAAACCTATTTTGTCTAATATTTCAAAAATATGTAAATTTTAATAGACCTTCGGTGTTTTGAACAAATCGCCCATAATACCTATAAGTATTATATGATGTAATTTAAAATAATTAAGTTGTAAATAATTGCTTTAACAACAATACAGCATATAACCGATGTAGATTAAAAAAAAAAATTAATTATATAGGTAAGTATACTTATTTTTGAATTATATCGTATAAACATATCATTACGATATAATTAAGTGAATTAGTTTAATTTATGCGTTATTATCGTGATGTGATATAAAATTAAACAATTTTTCCATTTATTTTATACCAAAGAATAAGTTCTAGGTAATACAAGACATTTTTTTCAGTTTAAATATATTATTTTCCATTATAATATAATATTATGATATTGTTATGTACAACGTACATGTATAGTGTATAAGTGTATCCGTGTATTTATAGACAGGTACAATAATTATATCAGTTCATATTATTTTTATCTTAAAACATTTAAATATTATGTGTAGGTATAGATAAAAATGATATTAGTGAATCATGCACAAACGTGCATTACAATGGTTTTATGAATTGACGCATACCTAATTATTATTTTCCATGTTATATTAAAATTTAAAAGCAAGTACGTATTTAAAATTAAATTTTCCTTATCAATGATTGATCTGTAGATCGTAGCCGCGGGCGAGGATTGATGAAATCGGGGTGTCAATCATTTCAAGGTCGTTAACCGGTCTATTTCACTAAGGGCTCGGCTTTCAAGGTATCACAAAAATACAATCTGCAACCCGCACCACTCACAAGAGCAGCGAAAGGCAGTATTATAGTAGACAACAGGACCTTCAGGCGAAGGGGATCGGAAAGACATCATATATTTTACCACACACTTCGTGATTGTTTAAAATGTACGGGACACCTATGTACGGCGAACACGGACATTTATGACCACAGCTCCAAACAATTTTCGAATACCTAACTGCAAAATTCAAACTGACTCTTGTTGCTTTCATACCCAACCCAGCGGACGTTGTCAACTTTGTGGAGAAGTCTTGGGATTGACTCTCAAACAACTCTAAGTGTAAGAAATTTGAAAATAATTTATCTTTGAACTCAAACAATTACAGTACCTAGGTAGTTTTAGTACGACACCTGCAGTATATTTTTTAAAATCATCATTCCAATTTCGTCCAATAATGTCCAATAGACAAAGACAGTCTCAATCCATCAGTATTTATAAATTTAAAAATTGAAATTATATAGGTAGGTTCATTTTGTGTGAATACTTTTATTCAAAAACTATTTATTTATTTTTATTTATAATACAATAATAACTATACTAATATCAACAGCTGATACGTATACCAACTGAGCTAAGCTCGTATCTGGCATACGGAGTTTCTATAGATAAATACAATATAAATATATAGTTATAATATATAAAACTCTTATACAGTTAAAAAGTTCACTTAATTTTCTAGATTCGATTAATACCAAGTTCGAGTTGGGGTTGAATCAGAAATCGTGATCCAGAGTTACCGCGACTATCGCGGCAGCGGAAAAACAAACGTCTGGTCAAAGATTGGGTATACATTATTATTATTATTATTATAACGGCGTAGCGTAGTTGCACGTGTGACGCACACAAGACAATACACACACTCTTATATATATTATAAATACATATTATATATATATATACAGTCCGCCTACCCGTCCCTATCTAACAGTCTCCACCACCGCTCCGACGTTCTGTAGCAATAATAATAATAATAATAATAATAATATATGATGTATGTTGCCACCGGTGGCGGCGTCAAGACCAGCCTCAACGTCGTACGTCGGGACGGCAGTCAAGTTTAAGTGCGCGCAGCGGCGATTACTTACGGCAGTGTGTTGAACGCCTCCGATGCGCAACGTTGCAGCTCCGGTCGAAAACAGATTTTTTCGGAATTACATTGATTTCGAGACATTGGTTTTCGTTTCTTGCAACTGCACGCGCGACGTCGCGTATCGCATTTTGTTGATTCTTTCAATTTTTTTTTTATGAAATGGTCGATCGAATTTTTTGAAAAAGTGATAATCCTTACATTCGAATCAGCGAGCGTCCTGCAGATATAATAATATAGCATTTGATTTATAGAGAATAAAAATGGCGATGTAAGTATAATATAATAACAAAACGAATGAAGCGTGCAAATTACTGTTACGTATTTTGCATCGTTTCATTTTTACCATCATCCCCCATTGTCACGTGTCGTTGTTGCAGTTCGGAAATGTGTAGCGCCGAGAATATTATGGGCTCCAAATTGATGATTTCCGTTAAAATGCCGAACAAGGACGAGCCGTTATTGAAAGAAGACACACCTGAACCATCGAAACAGACTAAAGGCAGTTCGCTTAAACAGGTGTTTATTTCAATAATTATTATAATTATTATTACTATTATTACATTTATTTAATCATAATTCAAGTGCAAAATTTAAAAATTCAAACTATGATGTTTGAGACTTCTCTTTTTGTCTGTCTCTCACTTACTCTCTCTCACTAATCAGGTACCATAGTTTAACAAAAGTATTGTGACGATTATACGAAAAAAGATTTAAAAGTAAATTTAAATTTATGCAATAACGACGCAACGTCTAAGACTTGCCATCATTTCACCTAAATATATATTATATTATTATATACATAATATATTGTTGTACTATCTAGTTACATATATATATATTATATTTTTTTCACATCTAATGTGAAACCAATTTGGCATGTTTACTATTCAGTTTACAAGCTACTATATTATATAATATTATCAAAATTAATACAACGAAGAATAATATTTTTACATTAATGACACGCGAGAAAGATAAGAATAGTATTGTTTTTTTATGGCATCTGGCCGCTCAATTAAACGAGTGTAAACTTGTATTTCTTACAAAAAAAGGCAGACATTATTTTACAAACAACAATAAATGATGAACGATTGATGATCTTTGCGAACACTGTACGCACATTGAATGTTAACATAAATATAGGTACGAACGTTAATAAAATAAATAATAATGATTAATAAAAAACATTTCCTATGCGAACTTATATAGATGTTTATACAATATTATATCAAATTGCCTTAAAAATACAAAACCTAAAATGACAATAACGTTAATAACGAACGCCAAAACAATAAAGATATTATAATTATATCGGTTATAAAAACTCGATAAGTATTATCGTCGCGGTATTAATTACTCGAATCTCATATATTATAAAAGTCATTATAAAGCGTAAATTGTTCAGAGCACCTATAAGAATATTAAATAGCTTGTGCAATGCAATCATTAAATTATATTTAATTTTTAATATAAAATATATACCTATAGGCTATAATCTATATATTATTATAGCCATACAATGGATAAAATATTGTGACTTATGTAATGGAATGTCGCAAGTCTCGAACACCGTACAAACATTAATAATTAATTATTGTTTTTTTTTTACTGTAATAAGCTTGAAATTTGGAAAGTAAAATTTAGCCTTTGCAATAAAATAAAATAAAAATTAAACTAAAAACATAACATAATAAATTGCACAGTTTAATATCTCGTGTACGATGACGTAATAAGTTGATTACTGCGTATCCATCATACACGAATTATAACTTTAATTGCTGGCTGTGGCGCCACACTTGATGATAAAAATCGCTATTTCAGATCCTTGTCGCCTTATCAGCTAACTGGGGCACCATAAACACTGGGCTCGTGTTCGGCTACACCGCCGTCAGCTTACCCCAACTTATGATGGCCGGGTCCAGGATTACAATCGACAGACACCAAGCCTCTTGGATAGGTGAGTTCCGAATAGATCAATATTTGACAGTCGCATAATTGATTGCATAATAATAATGATGACGATTATTAAATTAATGTTAATATTGATTAACATTAATAACGACCAACTCTCATCACCATAGCTAGTGTGTCGACAATCGGCACGCCGTGCGGTTGCATACTGGCCAGCTACTTCACCGACTTGTTGGGCCGCAAGAAGACCTTAATCGCCTTACAGTTACCAGCTATCGTCGGATGGTTGATGGTGGGTTTCGCAACGACAGTCCCGTGGATTTACGCGGGAAGATTCCTGGTGGGCCTGAGTTCCGGCATGGTCGGCTCGCCGTCCCGTGTGTACACGTCTGAAGTGTCACAGCCACACCTTCGTGGCATGTTGTCCGCGTTTGCATCTGTTGGGACGTCTTTGGGTGAGCAACGGTTCAGTTTTTATTTTTGTCGATACACTTTTCCGTATTGCATTAATAACTTGGTTGCGAAACCGGTGCAGGCGTCATGTTGGAGTATTTGTTCGGTTCAGTATTAAACTGGGACACGTTGGCGTTGTTCAACGCCACGATGCCCGCGATCGCACTGCTCTTGGCCTTCTTCATACCGGAATCGCCGTCGTGGCTGATATCGTCCAAGAACGACGAGAACCGGTGCCGGGCCAGCCTAAGACGGGTACGAGACAGTAAGTGCGACGTGGACACTGAAGTCAACGACTTGCTCATGTTCTCCAGAGCAGACGAGTTAACTTCGTTCAAGGAGAAGGTCCGACTCATCTGCCGGCCGACTGCGTACAAGCCGTTCGTGATCGTCTCCATCTATTTCCTGCTCAGCCAGTTCTCCGGACTGAACGTGGTCACATTTTACGCGGTCGACGTTATACGGGTTAGTGTCGTTGCGCTAATTAGCGATCCTATATTATAACAATGTATTTGTCTTGACTTCACCCCTGTTATCTATACAGGACTCGGGTTCTACTATCGACAAGTACGTGGCCACCGTCGTACTGGGAATCATTCGGTTGGTATTCACTGTGCTTGGTTGCATGATGATGTGGCGACTAGGCCGAAAGCCTCTCTCCTACATATCCAGTGAGTATACGATCTGTTGACTCGAGCCGGGTGCTCGCCGTTCCGTGTCGAGTCGACGAGTCCCCCTTGTTTTTATTCCAATTTTACGTTTCTCCAAGTCGTTGTGATTAATGACGATTGGTGAACTTATAGTTCCACTTGTATATTATTATCGAGTCCCAAAAATCGTACGACACGACACACGGCGGGGCTTTGGGAATCCGGCTATTCACTAACCGCGGTATAACGGTATCGGTATAGTGTATGTAATATGTATTTATTTACAGGTGTGGGGTGCGGAATATCGATGCTTTGCTTTGCCGGCTACATGTACCAGAACATCACTTGGACAGAAGCCGGGCAGCCCGCCTCGGCCACGTGGTTCCCGATCATGAGCCTGTTCGTGTTCTACGCCTGTTCGACCATCGGCTATCTAATCGTGCCGTGGGTGATGATCGGCGAGGTGTTTCCCAGACAGATCCGGGGCATGCTCGGCGGCGTGGCCACGTGCGTCGGCCATTTCTCCATATTCATCGTGCTCCAGACGTACCCGCTCCTCCAGGAGCTGGTCGGCAAGTCCGGTACGTTCGCAGTGTACGGTGTCGTGTCTATACTCAGCACCATATTTTTCTACTACTTCTGTCCGGAGACCAAAAACAAGACGCTGCAAGAGATCGAGGAGTCGTTCTGCAGTAAGAAGAAACCGAAAAGACCCGTAGTCCTCAACGTCAACGCTACAGCCACAGCCACCGTCCAATGCAACAACAACAAAAAATTAGTGTTTCCCGATATTGTTTTCAATTTGCCGAAACGCGAGACCAGTGTGATTGTGTGAAGACTCGACGACGGTTGTGTTAAACCGAACACCCCGATGATGAGGAAATATCGCCATCGATTAGTTCCTTTGAATATATTATTATATAAATATATATTTTTATTTGTTTAACTATTTTTAATGATTTGATATCGTGTCCCGTTGCAATACATATAGCACGTTGTCGCGAACGCCTGTTTAATATAATATTATTATTGTTAAAACTATGATCGATTAAGTATTGTTTTTGAATTTTCAATGCTTTCAAACGTTTGAAAGCTGTGAGGATATTCATAGCATTTTTACTTTACCTACCATAATATTATTATTACTGTAGTATTAGACATTGACATTATTTATACCTTTATAGTTGTTTTTAAGACTGACTAAAAGTGAATTATTATAGTTTTAGAAAATCAACTATGTTTTTATTATACTATGTGAATAATATATAGATAAATATAAACTTGATATATAATATATATTATATATATATACATATATACATATATATTTATACATAATAATATTATGTATAAATTCAAATATATGAAAAATTATTTAATAAATTATATTAAATGATTTTTAATGATTTATATTCATTATAATTTTAAATTTGTATTATTATCACCATGTTTATATTTCAAAGTCCGTTAGATTTAATTAAATTTGTATTTAAAATATTAGGTAACTAATCATTGTGAGTAAAATTAATAAAATATGTTAAGTTATTGATATTATTGCATTTTTTGCTTATAAAATCTTGTGGATACAGTCATACAGAGTCTTAGGTTTTAAACATATATTATAATACTTACTACGTGATGTCAACAATAAGTTAATAAATATACATAGGTAGTTAGAAAAATTACAGTAGGTATAAGTATTAAGTACAAATGTACAATTTACAAACATTAATGAAATCTATAATTCAAAGTAGGAATATAATATGCCTATTTGGATTGACAAGTTTTCGAAAAACTTAAAAATGTAATTACATTACTATCACACGGCCAGAAAATATGCCATAAATGGTTCAGAAACACAGACACTCTGATAGTCAGATGTGGTAGACATTAGTCATTAATCATTAATTATTTCGATTGACAGTCGCTGTGGGTCCAACGAATGAAGTTCATTCGTAAATTCGTTCAATAGTCTTTATCATCCAGTGAGACATTTCTTCCATTATTTTAATTCAATCACGGTTTTAGATAAATTTTTATCTACATCATAAATTTAATATTGACTTTTGGCAAATATCCGAAGTCCACATTTTGTTAAATATGCCATATAGATTCTAATACACGGGTTTGTATGCACTAAACATAATCACAATAATATGCCATATAAATATACAATGTGCAGTAAAAATCGTGGAAATAAGCAATACAACTAATTAATAAAATGTACACAATTAAACTGGTCAGATAATAGATGGATAGATTCGTAACCGACAAATTGACAAAACGTATTGTTAGAATTTTTCACTCGACGAATTTATTTTTTACACAGATATTAAGTTTTTAATACAGTAGGTATATATTAATAAACTTCACTTCAGTATGCAATGAATATAGAGTTTTGTCAAAATATGCAAAAAAAATTGTTATCATTCGCTCGGAACCATTACAATATGAATTGATTACTGAAAATAAAAATAAAAAACCATAGCACACTATTCGATAATTTTCCTTCACAAGGATATGAATCATAAAATATATTATGTATTATGTTTTTGTTAATAAATTACAACTAAAACCTTACGAAAAATCGGTCACAAATATTTTAATAGTCTATCCCAAAAACGTATTTGATTACTTTAAACAATATACAATAACATGAAAATCAATGTCCATACTCCATTGTCTCCATAGTACAAACAACTGTAAGCGCGATTTAGTAGTGAAACGTGTGCCTATATATATTTTCTAATTTAAAATAATTTTGGTTTTTTACTTAAGAGGACGTCACACCCGCATTACCTGTTGCTCCGTCTTACACACGTACGACATGGACAAAAAAAGTTAAGGGTCCTGGTCACGACTATTCAAATTTTCCGCAATTCTATAAAATCTGAAAATTAAATTTTATATTTTAGTTGACACCTCAATTATAAGACTTTTCCACTAATCTACTACCCAATACCTATTTAGGGGGGGGGGTTGATAGGGTGTATTATATCGATCAAAACACACTTTACAGGAAAAACTCTTACACCTCGTAGATTGGTCCGATTTCCTTTTTTTTTTGTTAGATAGAAGAATATTTTTTACATGGCGCATTGGACTTCGATTTTTGATTAAGTTGCTAAAAACAAATAATAATATAAAAACTAAAAAGTTGTAAAAATCGATCAAATTCAAACTTGTAATATAAGATTTCGAAAAACAATTTTGAAAATCCAACTCCTATGCGCCCTGCAATAAGTCTTCCTCTATTTAACAAAAAAAAATTACGGAAATCGGACCAATCTACGAGGCGTGAGAGTTTTTCCTGTGAGGGTTGTTTTTGAGCAAAAAAACCGGTCGCGCGCAGGCCCCTTAACGAAGTCTGAGTAGAACTCGCTCAATTTTGGTTCTAGAGTATAATTACCTATTATAAAATTGAATCGTGACAATATTTCTGAGAGCGTTTTTTCAATTATACCTGATATAACGTTCATTATATACTTTAGAAATAGAAATAATGTCAACATTCTTAAAATACCTTTAACTTTTTAAAGTTTAAATTTAAAAAAAAAACGCAACAAATTTCCCTAAATTTTGTTTTTCTTTTCTGTTTCTTTTGTTGCTTCTTGTAACCTGTTTTTATTATGTACTCTGAAATAACTTTAAATATCTGTAGTTTATGCCCACTACCCGGCGTTTATAAATAAAAATAAATATATAATTTATTTAATTAATCCATGTAATGTATAAATAATTATAACCGCCAATAAAAAGTGAAACGAAAAGTGTTTTAATTGTACACTTTAAAAACAATATTAAGAGAGTCGAGGTTTTATCTATAGAGAGGTATGTAGGACCTCGAGTTGCAGTTGGACCGAGCTTTTACTTGTAATTACCTGTCGTAGATATTACTAAAATACTATAGTAAAGGCTAAACTATATCGCCTATTGGGGACAATAGTATTGTAAAATACTAAGGCGAAAATAAGAGGACTGCGCCCCCCACCCTAAACACTTCTTAAATTTGTTTTAAGCTTATTGAGTATTATTACGGTAGGGATTCAGCTCTCTCCCCAAATCTAAAACGCTATTTGCGCCTATGTTCAACTGTCCGTAGATAATAATTCCAACAATCAATCTCATGGAATTAAGTCCAACGATGAGAAAGAGAGCAAGCCCACCCCATGAAACAAGCGCTGCAGGCTTTCAAAAGTCTAAAGCTGTAGTTTCAGTTAGTTATAATAATTAAGTAAGTACGTAATAATATTTTTGATGCGGCAGTGGGAACTGGGAAGATAAAATATATGTCAAGTGTCAACGGCTGACAATTGGCAAAATTACGAGTCCTATTTCATACAAGACGCACTTTTGGAAATTATAAATCGATGGTACCCAAAATACTTAAATCCAATGATGTAAATGTAACCAGTGGCGTAAAAAGTGTTTGAAATTTGGGGGGGGGGCTGAAGCTCAGGTCTATACTTGAACTCTTATAATGCTTTTAAAGTATAGTAGTGAAATCATTAGTTTAGGGGGGATATAGAAACTCTAAGGAGGGCTAAAGCCTCCCAGACCCCCTCTCCCTATTCGAGCCTATGAATTTAACATAATATTATATAATATATACAAGTCGCACACTTTACAAAATATGATAATTTGTTTTCATACAGATTGTATTAATCCTTAGTTTATATTGCGCTTGTACTTATAAGTGGAATTTATAGGATATAATGTAAACCTAATTGTGTTCTAATTTTTTTTTTTTAACAAGTACACAAAAATATAATATGCAACCATTCATACAAGTAAAATAATTTAATAGGGATTCAAATATTCGATGTGAATTTTAGTAAACCATTATTGACTTATCTTCATCTATTTGGTGCTTTTATTCCTAAAAGAAATATTTCTGAAACTCTCGTTACTTTTATTTGAATTCATTTGAGTTTCATACCATAATGTCTACATTAAAACTACAATAAAATTAACGAAACAAATAAAACAACATGAATTAAATAAATTAAATAAAGACTTTGGATGTTTGATTTGAATATACAGATATTATACATTTATACAATCAAATAAGAAAAATTACTGACAAATAATATAAATGATTAATAAGTACCAAAGTATACTGTAACTATTATTAAGATTTATTTTAAAAAGTAATGGGTACCTACTTACATAAATAACTTAATGTATAGTTACACGTCAATACGTCATTATATTATAGTATATACGTAGGTACATAAAAAGTGTTAGTATGGATGGAAAAATAATATAAAATATAGATAGTTATTTATAAGTTATCACTTACAAGCAATATAAATATATAATTATTATAAATTTAAAATAAAATGATAACCCATCACAACTGTTGATTCACGTCTATGGACGACTACTAGGTAAACTGATTACTGACTCAGCAACGAATTGAAATATAAAAATAAATCAATCCTATTTAAATATATTATATTTTTTTATTGGATGGACGATAATAATGGCTGTGATGATATATAATCAGTGTTGTTTTAAACTTTTCTTAGCTCGGAAACAATACTATCAGTTTCCGCTGATTGCTTTCATCACTAGAAGCAACTGCCATAACAAATGTTTTTTTTTAAATTTGATATTCAGATTTCTGGGTTTTTGCCCTTGTTAATCTAACTGGACCCGGAAGCTATTTAAGAATAATTATTAAAGATATTCGACAAGGCGCTGAGTAGAAACAAAAATCTAAAGATTTAAAATGAATATCAAAAGATCGATCAAAACTATTGTATTGAGTATAATAAATAATAACAAAATGTAATATGTATCTATAATAGATATTAGATAGGTACATAATAATATTTTAGGTTCAATATTTAAAAAAAAAATAGAATATATATTTATAATTTCATTCAAATATTTATTATAATTTATAAGTAGGTACATTTAATTTTTGAACAATATTTTATGTCAATTATTATTATTATTTTTTTATTGATCTTAAGCATAGGAAACTATGTCCATCGAAATTTTTGTAGGTGGGTTACGGTTGGTTGAGGAACAAGTGTATGTGCAGGGAATAGAGGATTCGTCACTAAAATCGGGGTGGTCACCCATCCAAGAACTAGGGACGCCGGCCGGTGCTTGAACTCACGTTAGTGACTGAGGCCAACAATTGAGCCACACCAAACCCCACAATTATTATATTTTTTTTTAATAATTTCTGTAAGTTATTAATGAGGGGGGGGAAATGTATTTAATATAAAATCAGTATTCACCCTTATCAGTTATAGTTTATAATAAAGCTAGAAAACATTGAAATGTATTAAACTATCGTATCTTTCAAATGTAAGCATGAGAATTATGAATAAAGTGAACGTGTCAGAACTATTTCGCTCCACAAAATGTAATTATTTTTTTAGATTTAGTCAACTTTACATTTTGATGAAACTTTAACTATACCACGGTAACCCAACCAAGCAACAATTGCTGTAGGTACAAGTAAAAATAATGTGACATCGAACAAAAAATACTGCGCAGTGTTTAGTCCTATAGATTCAGCTTTTAGGTATTGAGCTCCATCGTTCCGAATGACGTACTCTATCCAGTATATTGCTCGATCTAAAGGTTTCATCGGTTGATCTCTGAACACCTGACTCTGAATCATTGCCTTATCCTTAAACCTGGTTAAAGAAATAGGAAAATTAAACGCAATTTATATTTTATACGATATTATATAACTATTGTGTGTGATGCGTCAATACTCTAAATAACGTATTATACATACACCGGATTTGATATCACTTCTTCGACAGCGTTTCCAAACGATTCTTCGGTTAGTTGATCAAAAGTTATCAACTTTCCATAGCCAATTTTCTCGACCAGTCTCATGTTGGAAAGTTGATCAGCGAAAAATGGTATGCCAATCACCGGTTTTTCGTTGTACACAGCTTCCTCGATACTGTGTAAACCTCCATGAGTAATAAAAAGTTTCACGTTTGGATGAGCTGTATACATAAAGTTACAAAATATATCTTACATATTTTTAATTATATTCTCAATTGAATTCAATTAACGAATTATTACCTAAAATATCATTCTGAGGCAACCACGAACCGACCTTTACGTTTTGTGGCAATTTTATACTTTTATCTGGTACCCATTTTATAATTACTTTTTGCTTTAAACGACTGATGGCATTGAGAAAACTACTCATTTTTTCTTTTGGTAGATTCGATAAATTGACCATCGAACCAAAAGAAAAATATATGACACCGTTAGAAGCTGAATCAATATAATCTTGTAAATCCTAAATAATATAATTTTTGCATTATTAATATATATTCAAAAATGAATATTAAACTACATATTATTTTGATTTTTGAAGTCAATTAAATATTATTGATATTTATAATTGTGAAATATCTTGATCGAGCGAAAGAGTTAAGTACACGGATATTTTTAACATTATAAATTATGTATTTCACGATGATTATTTCTATCGATTTATTATTAGGCTCACTTTGGGTAATGGTTTCGGTTCTTTGAGATGCATTCCTCCTACTTCGACAACTCCCTGTAAATACGGTCGACACACACCGACCGCGTGGTAAGCGTTCATCAGCGTCAGTGACACATTGTTCAGCATTTGCTCGAGCGTAGGTCTCGTATCCGAACCAACGTATGTGAAGTGCTTGATCATTTTTGCCTTCATCATCGGTATATAAAAATAGTCCTCCACGAACATTTGTACAAATCCGACGATGGTGTTCTTTAAACGGCCCGTGAAACTCATTTCGTCCGTCACGCCTATGCAGCAATCAGGCACATACGAAAATGTCGAAGGCAATTGCAACCATCGGCTGACGCTGACCCAGACCATTCCCGGCGACAAGTTGACGACGGGAGCGTTGTACTTATGACCGAGGGCCACGGTGTATTCTTGGAGGAAAGATTCGACAATGACCAAATCGAACGATTTGTCCTCCGACCGCAAGAAGTCTATCAAATTCGGGTGATCCATTTGGGCCGACAAGAGATTGGCGAAAAACCATCTGTTCGTCACTGTCATTACGAAATTGATGTTGATCAACTGCATCACGTCGATTTCTGTAACAGTGTGGGGTGGATAAAAAAAATTCCAAAATAATCAAATATATGATCGGTCGTTATGCAAAGGGTTGGTGCAATGTGGCATAATAAAATTGGATAAATAAAAAATAACTGGGAACTTGCGCATGTTGCATATATAGTAGGTTTGAATCGGTACATAGTACATATTTTGCCTATATGTCTTGTAAATTGTATACATTCATGGCTACTCTCAGATTCTAAAAAAGTATAATATGGTTGCTGTAGTAAGTAGTAACCTAGTTATATTAATCGTCGTTTGCTAGGGGGCAATCTAGGAACTTTATTTAAGGGCGCTTTTTAATTTATTATTAATTTCATCTTTTTGATGTTTGGTTGTCAGGGAAACTGTAACGTGTAATCGGTCAGAAATATGCAATAATATTTTAGGCTTCACACGGTAACTCTCTCCATGTCGCACAAAATTAGATAAAGACCCCCAGCCTTAAGACATACAATACATGTCAAAAGTACCTCGACATGGTAAAATAGGCGTGTTTCATGTGAATTCAATAATATGATCGTAGTATGTATGAAAAACGATTCTAAGTAAAGACCGACAATTTAAACTCAAACGCTTATCAAAACACAATAAATACTTATAATATTTACTTTATATATTATTAAATTACTGTACAATTGTTGAGTAAACAAGCTTGTGTTACGAATTGCCATGCTTAGGTATAATGTAGATTTCAAACAATTTTTATTAACGAAACAGCCATATATTATTTTGTCTATTGTACAAACGTACCGATCAAACTACTAAAGCGATAACATTTCTGAAAATAAAATTAAAATATGTTTTTTAGAAGTCTAATTGGATAAATATATATCACTACAAAAATTTACACACCAAAACAGCTAACCACACAAATCCACTGATTTCCAACTTGGCCAGTGAATTCATGCCTAACAACCCTCCACGTCGATTAAAAAGACACTGGTGTCGCGATCTCCTGAATCCCGACCAGCACTAATATAAAAAAAAAAAAAAAAAAAAAAAAAAAAAAAAAAAAAAAAAATAATAATAAATAATAAAACCTCTCCCCCAAGCTAGAGGGTATCCACACTGGTGGGCCTCCCTCCTCAAGCCATTCATGTTGTTGTATTCTTTCATTACCAAATTTACTCATTGTATATATAAAATTACAGATTGTAAATATTCTATTTTATCTAATAAAAAAAAAAAAAAAAAAAAAAAAATATATATTTTATTGGTATGATTAACTAGAATATCGTCAACAAGTACGTAGGTAGGTATTTGTTTTTTTAATTCAGTATAGGTAATTTCAACTAATTTTTGCCAAAATCATAGCATACAGTATGAATATTCATAGGGTACCGTGCTGAATAGATTCGGGGTATTAATAGTTTGAATTGAAATAAGTCTAAAAAAAAAATTGATCTAAGTATGATCATTTCTTTGTGAATTAGAATAAAATACAATATACAAAATCGATCATGTCAAAAACTGGTGTTGGATATAAATATATGTTTTTATCAGTTCTATAGAAATAACTATTTTTATATTCAACAAAACTAACTTTGAACTCTCAAAGTACAAATTAGCAATGAAAAATACAATTTTTTTTGTGGTAATAATTTTACTAAATCGTGAATACAGGCATAAAAAATAATTTAAACCCTCCCCGCCATGCTCAGAATCTAACACAACATAGATACCTAATGATATAATTTAAAAAACCTATACAAACTTGGCAGTTACCATATCCCTGCAGGGTACCATTTACCTCATAAAGAATGGGTCAACCTCGATCGAATCCGGACTGGATACATGGAACTTCCGAATATCTGATGTACAAATGGGGCCTATTTCCTATATGCCTACCGCGGCTACCACAGAGTGCGACTAGCACATACCACCAGACTATTTCACACATTATAGTATAATATTTAAGTGCTCAAATTCAATGGAGCACCTGCAGAGGACTTTGTAAATGCAACCCCTACCGCAATCGGGTGGACACGGAACTCAGACATCGACCTAGTACAGTAAATGTATACGCACTCTAAAATCCTATGTATTTACTGTTATATACCCTACGTAATTCTACCAGCATTATGTTTCTATAATAGGCTATAATCATTGCTACCAAAATTAATCCTATGTTATGTTTTTAGTTTATAGTCTATGACAATGTCATTATCTACTGCATGGTACGCACAAATAAATAAACCCCAATAATATTTAGGTATATGCTCACCTGGAAGACCCTGTACCGGCGTCACGTCCACGTCGGTGTAGTTCGGGACTCGTCGGTTCGCCAGCGGGAACGAGCTGACCACGGTGACGTTGTGGCCCCGGCGGGCCAACTCCTCGAACATCGGCTGGAACCCGCCGAAGTGGCTTTTCAGCGGCATGGGCATGAACGCCAATATGTTCGCGGCGAGCGCAGAGGGCGGTGACAAAACCGTTGGCAGCAGCAACAGCGGCAGTAGCCGCGCGACGGCCGCGAACATGACGAAATATAATGTAATTATATTTTTTGATTATGATATTATGTTATTTGTCATTTGATTTGGATTTTTATCAGATTTATATTGTTGTCAAATGTCTCCGTGAAATCTTCGTCTGCTCGACGCGACGTCGATGTCCAACTGCCGCGCGAGACAGCGAGTCCGGTCGGACGAACATAATGAGAAAAGTAATAACAACGTGTGGTACGGTCGTTTGGAAGGTACGGTCGTGACGACCGACGGTGATGATGATAAAAAAATAATAATAATTTGCGTTTGGGTCGGAATGGAATCACTATACCAGTGCTAATACGACGTATCATAATATACGAACGCTGTGCTCGTCCAGGTTGTTGTAAGCAACGGTAGTAATTGAAGATAATAATAGGTACATCAGACTTGATTACACCTAGATAACTACAGTAGTTTATATTATATACCTACCAATTAACAAGCTTGGTCAGCATTATTTACAACAGCTGTACGAATGACCTTCGACCACTTCCGTATAAGACTCACACTGTGTTATTATATAACATTTATTATTCTGATCTGAGGTTTTGGTTGGAAATAATATATCAGTTGTCGATACAAGCTCATGGCTCACAGTTAGAAACTTCCGATTTCAGTACATCGTCATCACGCCATTGCCTAGAGTCCAAAAGAATAAAGGAGAACTAGCGGCGGAGTACGATTGCGCGCGTTTTACCTTTTTAGGTATACGATTGCGCGCAGTGCCCGAATAACAAAAGACAACATTTTAATTACTCAAAGGCGTACGATTGCGCGTGAAATTGGGTGCGACGTTGCCAAATGTATTACGTAAATAACGGAATGGAATCACTATACCAGTGCTAATACGACGTATCATAATATACGAATCGCTGTGCTCGTCCAGGTTGTTGTAAGCAACGGTAGTAATTGAAGATAATAATAGGTACATCAGACTTGATTACACCTAGATAACTACAGTAGTTTATATTATATACCTACCAATTAACAAGCTTGGTCAGCATTATTTACAACAGCTGTACGAATGACCTTCGACCACTTCCGTATAAGACTCACACTGTGTTATTATATAACATTTATTATTCTGATCTGAGGTTTTGGTTGGAAATAATATATCAGTTGTCGATACAAGCTCATGGCTCACAGTTAGCAACTTCCGATTTCAGTACAACGTCATCGCACCATTGTCTAGAATTCAAAATAATAAAGGAGGAATGGTACATATTATTCATAACTTATAACTTTGAGGAAGCTTTGTTGTGACTTGAGAGATTTATAAATATATAATATTATTATGTATTAATTTAAGTATAGGTACTAATAGTTTTTAAACAAATAACTGTTATAACTTATAAGACGTATATTATCGTGACAGCGGTGAAGTGCAAGTTCTGAGAATGAAATCTTAGCAATCACAATACATAACATAGGCATCAGTGGAACATAAGTCATAACGAATCAAAACCTAAACTGGAACTGAACATTTTAAAAACCCGATCTTAAAACCCAAACCAAAACCTGAGAACTCCAAAAACCATTTTCAAAACCGAAACTATAAAGCAGTTAAGAGGCCTCGCTACGATCATTATTAAAGGGACAACATTTAGGCAATTTCTAATCTTGTCATAGCCGCCCGGGTGTTGCCTATGTGTTAGTTGTAAATGATTATTAGTGTGAGTGAAATTAAATGCGGGTATCCTCTCTCGTACTCGCATGCACATGTCAATAACTCGATAACCATATTATCAATATCACTACATGCATTTTAAGAAAACATACATTTGTTTTGACAACATTAAAGTTAGTTAACGGTGTCTGATTTTGTACCTAAAAAAATATTTGAATTCAGCAAAAAAATGTCTGTAGATCGTACGAAGCATTTTCCGTTTTTAATAATTTTAACTATGATTCGAAAAATTAAAATTTTCAAGTTTTCAATTACAGTTCACAATAATATAAAATTTAGTTTTTACAAAGTGCTTCGTAGGATCTATAGACAATTTTCTGGTGTGTTCAAATTTTTTTTCAGAATGAAAATCCGACAACGTTAACTAACTTTAATTTTGTCAATACTCTTTAGGTCTTTTCATCTAAAATTAACGGCAGTATAGCGAGGCCCCTTAATACTTGAAACGGTTTCGAAACTGGTATTAACTGACTGTATAAAACTATAAATATAACTTGTAATATAAAACGTGTACACTGTACACACTATAAATGTTAAAAATTAAAACACACATTTTACGTACCTCTACCATTAATTAGACATATTTTTTTTAAGTATAAACATTATAACATTACATTTATTATTGGATTATTGGATTATTTATTATACATTTGATTACCTACTGGCTCAGCCATGAATTGAAATATAAAAATAAATCAATCCTATTTTAATTTATTATATTTTTTTATTTGTGAGGACGATAATAATGGCTGTAATATATAATCGGCGTTAACTTTTCTTAGCTCGAAAACAAAATCAGTTTCCGTTGATTACTTTCATCACTAGATGCGACTGCCACAGTCCCACATAAGTTTTTTTTAAATTTGATATTCGAATTTCTTTTTTCGGGGGTTTTTTCCTTGTTAACCTAACTTAACCTCTACTCTATTTAGGAATAATTATTAAAGATACCCGACAAGGCGCTGAGTAGAAACAAAAATCTAAAGATTTAAAATGATTAATGAATAACAAAAGTTCGATCAAAACTATTGTATTGAGTATAATAAATAATAACAAAATGTAATATGTATCTATAATAGATATTAGATAGGTACATAATAATATTTTGGATTCAATAGTTAAAAAACAGAATATTTATTTTTAATTTCATTCGCATATCTATTATAACTTATCAGTAGGTATACATTTCATTTTTGAACAATATTTTATGTCAATTTTTATTATTATTTTTTTATTGATCTTAAGCATAGGAAACTATGTCCATCGAAATTTTTGTAGGTGGGTTACGGTTGGTTGAGGAACAAGTGTATGTGGAACGAGGATTCGTCACTAAAATCGGGATGGTCACACATCCGGGAACTAGGGACAGCAGCCGATGCTTGAACTCACGTTAGTGACTGAGGCCAACAACCGAGCCACAATTATTATATTTTTTTTTAATAATTTCTATAAGTTATTAATGAGGAGGGAAAATATATTTAATATAAAATCTAAATTTAAATAAAATTCGTAGGTACAGTTACATAAACTTTTTTATGAATATAATCGTTCACTTATAGAAAGCCATTTACGCCATCATCAGTATTCACCCTTATCAGTTATAGTTTATAATAAAGCTAGAAAACATTGAAATGTATTAAACTATCGTATCTTTCAAAGAATATAGAAAAATAATGTGACATCGAACAAAAAATACTGCGCAGTGTTTAGTCCTATAGATTCAGCTTTTAGGTATTGAGCTCCATCGTTCCGAATGACGTACTCTATCCAGTATATTGCTCGATCTAAAGGTTTCATCGGTTGATCTCTGAACACCTGACTCTGAATCATTGCCTTATCCTTAAACCTGGTTAAAGAAATAGGAAAATTAAACGCAATTTATATTTTATACGATATTATATAACTATTGTGTGTGATGCGTCAATACTCTAAATAATGTATTATACATACGCCGGATTTGATATCACTTCTTCGACAGCATTTCCAAACGATTCTTCGGTTAGTTGATCAAAAGTTATCAACTTTCCATAGCCAATTTTCTCGACCAGTCTCATGTTGGAAAGTTGATCAGCGAAAAATGGTATGCCAATCACCGGTTTTTCGTTGTACACAGCTTCCTCGATACTGTGTAAACCTCCATGAGTAATAAAAAGTTTCACGTTTGGATGAGCTGTATACATAAAGTTACAAAATATACCTTACATTTTTAATTATATTCTCAATTGAATTCAATTAACGAATTATTACCTAAAATATCATTCTGAGGCAACCACGAACCGACCTTTACGTTTTGTGGCAATTTTATACTTTTATCTGGTACCCATTTCATAATTACTTTTTGCTTTAAACGACTGATGACATTGAGAAAACTGCTCAATTTTTCTTTTGGTATATTCGATAAATTAACGATCGAACCAAGAGAAAAATATATGACACCGTTAGACGCTGAATCAATATAATCTTGTAAATCCTAAAAAATATAATTTTTGCATTATTAATATGGAATCAAAAATCAATATTAAACTACATATTATTTTGATTTTTGAAGTCAATTAAATAATTATTGATATTTATAATTATTAAATATCTTGAGTGAGTGAGTGAGTACATGAATAGGTTAATAAGTTTAAAAATATAAAATATTATGTATTTTACGATGTTATTTCTATCGATTTATTATTAGGCTCACTTTGGGTAATGGTTTCGGTTCTTTGAGATGCATTCCTCCTACTTCAACGACGCCCTGTAAATACGGTCGACACACACCGACCGCGTGGTAAGCGTTCATCAGCGTCAGTGACACATTATTCAGCATTTGCTCGAGCGTAGGTCTCGACTCCGAACCAACGTATGTGAAGTGCTTGCTCATTTTTGCCTTCATCGTTGGTATATACAAGTAGTCCTCCACGAACATTTGTACAAATCCGATGATGGTGTTCTTTAATCGGCCCGTGAAACTCATTTCGTCCGTCACGCCTATGCAGCAATGCGGTACATACGAAAACGTCGAAGGTAAATGCAGCCATTTGCTGGCGCTGACCCATATATTTCCCGGCGACAAATTGACGACGGGAGCGTTGTACTTGTGACCGAGGGCCACGGTGTATTCTTGGAGGAACGATTCGACCATGACTAAATCGAACGATTTGTCCTCCGACCGCAAGAAGTCTATCAAATTCGGGTGATCCATTTGGGCCGACAAGAAATTGGCGAAATACCAATTGTTTGTCACTCTCGTTAAGAGATTGAGGTTGACCAACTTCATCACGTCGATTTCTGTAAAGGCGTTGGGTGGATAGAAAAAAAATCAAAAATTATAAATATGCATATTACGCTAACGATTGCCGCAATGTTCGCGCACTCAAAAGTGGCATAATTAAATAAATAAAAAAAACTGGGAACTCGCTCATGTTTCGTATAGTATAGATTTGAAAAGTACCTCGCCATGGTAAAATGGGTGTTTTCATGTGAATTCAATATGATAAATCGTTGCATACATGAAAAACGATTCTAAGTGAAGAAACCCTCAAAAGCTCAAACAGTCAAACGCTTATCAAAATACAATAAATACTTATATAGTTATAATGTTATATGTACTATTTAAATTATTAAATTACTGTACAATCTTTGAGTAAACAAATTTGTGTTACATTTTCATGCAAATAATGTAGATTTGAAACGATTATTATTTTTTTGTAACGAAACATAGCCATTTATTTTGTCTATTGTACAAACGTACCGATCAAACTACTAAAGCGATAACATTTCTATAAATAATATTATTAAAATATGTTTTTAGAAGTCTAATTGGATAAATATATTTATTTATTTAAATATATTGATATGATGAACCAGAAATTCGTCAAAAAGTACATTGGTAAGGTACTTATTTTTTTCTTCAGTATAACTTCAACTAATTTTTGTCAAAATCATAGCATACAACCTTCACAATGTGAATGTATGTTATATTATACGTCGCATACTGCAGTATGAATATTTTACCGTTCTAAATAGATTCGTGAAATAAATAGTTTGAAATTAGTCTAAAAAAAAATTTGATCTAAATATGATTATTTCTTTCCGAATTAGAACAAAATACAAAATATAAAATCGATCATGTCTAAAACTGGTGTTGGATATAAATATCTGTTTTTAATTTTTAATAGTTGTATCCAATCTAGATAAAAGTACTAGGAAATACCTATTTTTATAGACAACAAAACTAACTCTGGACTCTCAAAGTACAAATTAGCAATGAAAAATACAATTTTTTTTTGCGTTAATAATTTTACTAAATCGTGATAACAGGCATACAAAAAATTTAAACACCAACAAATTTGCACACGCATGATTCTGAAATTAATGCATTTCTCGCTCAACCCAGAATCCCAAAGCGGTAATTTTAGAAAGGATATTCAGAAAGGAATGAATGGCCGTAGAGACTTTGAATACCGTCAATCCGGTGTTCAATCCGTCAATGCAGATTACATTTAATCATTTGTGGAGGGTACTTGGAACGTTAAAATCATTGATTTTTTTTATTAAATTGTGGTTGTATCAAACGGCTTATTGGTAAGAGATAACACATTTTCGATGATAATAAAACGTTTACAAAACGTTCCAAAAAATATTGTTGTGGAAGCAGAATTTTATTTCCTTTATCAAGCATAAAATTAAACGCTGTTATCAAAAAATAACACAATTGTTCCAAGTCCATTAATGGTACCCATTAATTCAATAATTATATTATTATCGTTTACTATACATAATGACATTTTAAATATATTAGAACAAAGTTTAAGTTATTCTCTATACTAATTTTATTATTAAATCTATTAATAGGTACTTGACATTTTTAAGTGTAGTATTGTGTCAATTGCACAGTGCATATTGGCTGTAACAGAACATATTCTCACTCCTTCTTCACACTTCAACCAAACTACAACGAAGACTGAAGACCCGAAGAAACCTCAAGAACATTCAACCAGCGAACGACCGGTACGATCCCGTGTGCAACTCTCATAGAGCATCGCCACAAATTGATCGCACGGTCCGACGACGACACCGACTCCGGTCCACGGCGTTCAAGTGCCCCGACGACGACACCGACTCTGGTCCACGGCGTTCAAGTGGTCCGACGACGACACCGACTCCGGTCCACGGCGTTCAAGTGCCCCGACGACGACACCGACTCCGGTCTACGGCGTTCAAGTGCCCCGACCGACGACCGGTACGATCCCGTGTGCAACTCTCATAGAGCATCGCCACAAATTGATCGCACGGTCCAACGACGACACCGATTCCGGTTACGGCGTTCAAGTGCCCCGATCGACGAACGACGACCGGTACGATCCCGTGTGCAACTCTCATAGAGCATCGCCACAAATTGATCGCACGGTCCAACGACGACACCGACTCCGGTCCACGGCGTTCAAGTGCCCCGACCGACGACCGGTACGATCCCGTGTGCAACTCCCACAGAGTATCGCCACTAATTGATCGTGCGGTCCAACGACGACACCGATTCCGGTCCACGGCGTTCAAGAGCCCCGACTGACGAACGACGACCGGTACGATCCCGTGTGCAACTCTCTTGGAGCATCGCCACAAAATCGATCGTACGGTCAGCGGCAATCCAACACATCGGCCTATATATATCTTTGTCCACGGGATTAACTAAATGGTAACCTCTCGTTATATCCGACATCGGGGAAAGGCTTAGACCGGAACTCCGATGCGGATACTCGATGCGCCATTAATAGCTTCGTGTGACATAGATAGTTTGGTCAGGCGGATCGACTAGCAACAGGGACCATACAGGACGCAGAGAAGAGTAATCAACCAGAGGCAAGAACTTACCAATTGGATAACCAACTGGAAGACATTGGGTAATAAATTGTCCTTTTTAGGACAACACTGATTAAAAGAAAGTCCCCCCAAGCGCGCCTGCCTAGGCCTCGCTCGACCCGAACAGAGATTGTGATTAGACGCCACTTAATCGAGCGGGCCTAATACAATTATCTGTTCCGTCCCTAATATTGTACAATAGCAAAAACTCCTTTCATATTATATAAGAGATTAACGGGAAAACAACATTTTCCATCCCCGAATATTGTAAACATAAAAGTTTGAATAGAAATAAAGCATTAATTATATATATAAAGCAAATGTATTTATATTTTTGGTAAACGGCTATTCTACTTCATAGTAAGTACCGTTTCAATTGGCGCCCAACAAGAGGATCTTAACACGACTTGAAGACGGCACGGAAAATCTCCCAACGGTCCACGATGGGTGGCCGAAGGAAGGGAAATCAATCTGAACTTGTGGACAACCTAATACCAACTATGGAACAATTCAGGCAGCTAGAGCGAACGATGAACCTAGCAAATACAAAAATTAAGGAATTACATCAAGACAATATAGAGCTACGCAAAACTATTGATGAATTAAAGGCGACATCTGAACAGCAGTGTGAAATATTGAGACAACTTATCAACGACGCAGAATCAAAATTTATAGTTGAAACAGCAAGACAGGACAGACTGATTAAAAACATTACCGAATCACCAGAAAGAGTTAGGGACGCAATTCACCGACCACAACCAGTGGAAATTAACATGCCAACATTCAGTGGAGAAAGACCATCGGACCATCCGAAGAAGTTTCTAAAAGAAATCAACACGTACTTTACACACAAAAAAATTGCCGATGAAGATAAAATATTGGTAATCGAGAACTGTCTACAAGGAAAGGCAGCTAAGTGGTTCGGTATGATCAAAGATGCCTTACCGAATGAAGAAACATTCAAGGGGCTTTTCTTAAAACATTTTTTTTCTGAAAACACTCAATGGGAAATTTTTATAAAATGTACCGAGGCCGGCAAACGCCCAATTCGAACTAATTACCAAGAACATTTTCATTATTGGATGTCCGAACTCAGATTTTTAGACTCTCCAAAACTAAACGAAGATCAGGCAATAAACCTCATCGCAAAACACTTCCCAATCGCCATTCAAGCTTACATTCAAACAACCCAAGAAAGGAAATTTATAGATATCTGGGAAAAACTTGGAGAGCTAGAAAACAACGACAGGTCGGATCGACAAAATATAAAGACCGGAGGGTCAGGATGGAGGAGACCCAATAATGACCAAATACCGATTGCCCAGATCAATAACAGACAACCGAATTATTTACAGCCAGAAAAGAAGGCAATGATCAAAACAATTTGTATTGACGATGAATTAATCGATGGTGAGGTTGAAGGGTCACTTAATCAAGATGAATCAAAAAACGAATACAGGGAGACTTTGGAAACGGAAGACCAATAGTCAAACATCCCGACACTTCCAAAAAACAAATAAAACGAATTTCGTATAGAAAGCAACACAATAAGTTCCAACCACACGATAAAAAGAGTAACAAAACGTCAATAATCACTGCAAGTGAACTGACAAGAGATGAAGACTATGAGATACAACTAAGCAATGAAAAAAACGGTTGTCCTTACATAAACGTAAAAATACACGAACAACAATATGAGATGTTAGTGGACTCGGGAGCCGAAATTAGTGCAATATCCACTGATTATGAAGCGGCGATATTGAAAACTGATAGATCAATACCAACCCTTCCACTGACGGGAATGATAATCCATAACGCGACCGGGGACAAGGCAATAAAAGTAAATAGACAATTACTAATTCCAATGTCAGTCAATAACAAAATAATACAAACCTCGTTCATTACAGTGCCATCACTGAATGAGGGAGGAATAATCGGTAACGATTTTCTTGAGGCATACAACGCTAAAATTGACTTTGGGAAGAAAACGGTGACAATTATAATCGAACAAGAAGAAATGAGAATACCATTTGTGAACAAACTTAACGGCGCACCTATGCATTTGAAGACAATACAAACACAAGTATCAAAAGAACCTATTTGTCCGAGGATGATTAATACACATTCACCTTCGGAACAAAATTATTTAGACAAAATTCTAAAGAAATTTTCAAGTGTGTTTAGAAACGAACCTGGCATGATAAAGAATTATGAATGCACAATCAAACTAAAAAACCACACACCAGTATGCGTAAAACCATATCCTATACCAATCGCTAAACAAGACGCAGTAAACAAAGAAGTCGAAAAAATGCTAGAAATGGGGATAATCGAACGATCGCGATCGCCATACTCAATCCCGATAGTGCCAGTATTTAAAAAAAACGGAGAGGTGAGATTATGTTTAGACGCAAGGAA